GCTCATATAAATTCCCCACTTTGCTTCCTATGGCCGAAAAGAAGTTGAGCATTCAATAATATGACATGAAAAGAAGTTGAGCATTAAATAATATGACATGAAAACAAGTTCAGCATTAAATAATATGACATGAAAAGAAGTTTAGCATTCAATAATATGACATGAAAACAAGTTCAGCATTAAATAATATGACATGAAAAGAAGTTTAGCATTCAATAATATGACATGAAAACAAGTTTAGCATTAAATAATATGACATGAAAACAAGTTCAGCATTAAATAATATGACATGAAAAGAAGTTTAGCATTCAATAATATGACATGAAAACAAGTTCAGCATTAAATAATATGACATGAAAAGAAGTTTAGCATTCAATAATATGACATGAAAACAAGTTTAGCATTAAATAATATGACATGAAAAGAAGTTTAGCATTCAATAATATGACATGAAAAGAAGTTTAGCATTCAATAATATGACATGAAAACAAGTTTAGCATTAAATAATATGACATGAAAACAAGTTCAGCATTAAATAATATGACATGAAAAGAAGTTTAGCATTCAATAATATGACATGAAAACAAGTTCAGCATTAAATAATATGACATGAAAAGAAGTTTAGCATTCAATAATATGACATGAAAACAAGTTTAGCATTAAATAATATGACATGAAAACAAGTTCAGCATTAAATAATATGACATGAAAAGAAGTTTAGCATTCAATAATATGACATGAAAACAAGTTCAGCATTAAATAATATGACATGAAAAGAAGTTTAGCATTCAATAATATGACATGAAAACAAGTTTAGCATTAAATAATATGACATGAAAACAAGTTCAGCATTAAATAATATGACATGAAAAGAAGTTTAGCATTCAATAATATGACATGAAAACAAGTTCAGCATTAAATAATATGACATGAAAAGAAGTTTAGCATTCAATAATATGACATGAAAAGAAGTTTAGCATTCAATAATATGACATGAAAAGAAGTTTAGCATTAAAAAATATGAAATGAAAAGAAGTTTAGCATTAAATAATATGACATGAAATCAACGCAAAGGATAAAGCACATTGCGGGGTCCTACAGGTTGAAAAAAAAAGACTAGTTTTTCAAAAATTACTTGAAATATATTTTTGTAGAATCTACATCAATGGTCGGCAATCCCAATGGTCCACACCCCCAACGGTCGGCAACCCCAGTGGTCGGCAACCCAATCTAGGTGTTGGAAACCCCAGTGGTTGGAAACCCCAATGGTTGGAAACTCCAATGGTTGGAAACCCCAGTGGTCGGAAACTCCAATGGTTGGAAACCCCAGTGGTTGGAAACCCCAGTGGTTGGAAACTCCAATGGTTGGAAACCCCAGTGATTGGAAACTCCAATGGTTGGAAATCCCAGTGGTTGGAAACCCCAGTGGTTGGAAACCCTAGTGGTTGGAAACCCCAGTGGTTGGAAACTCCAATGTTTGGAAACCCTAGTGGTTGGAAACCCCAATGGTTGGAAACCCCAGTGGTTGGAAATTCTAGTGGTTGACAACCCGCGACATCGGAACCAAAATAGATGCAGCCTTTTAAAAAACAAAGAAACGTCTCTCTAGTGACCTTTAAACGATCTTCTCTTGCCTGTGGCGCCCAAAATAATTTCTTATCATATTTAAATTATTACAAAATTGCTTCTGACTCTAAAAAGGTCGCCGACGCATAACCTAAATGTTTACTTACATCGTACTTGTAAAAAACTGTACTTCTACTAAAACTCTAGACTAAACATTTAACTCTACTTGTAATTAAACTTTTCTAGGACTAAAACTGTACTTTTACTTAATTATTCACTCCCACCCTAACTCCTGCAAATTACGTCAGATATCAACACCCTAACATCGCAGTGAAACGTCTCCTAGCTTACAACAACATCATAAAGTCGCAGTGAAACGTCTCCTAGCTTACAACAACATCCTAACGTCGCAGTGAAACGTCTCCTAGCTTACAACAACTCCCTAACGTCGCAGTGAAACGTCTCCTAGCTCACAACAACATCCTAACGTCGCAGTGAAAGTTCTCGTAGCTTCTCACCTCCGTTGAAGATCATCATGAGAAGAAAGATCAGCTCTTTGCTTCCAGGGCCGACTATGACGTCATCTGGCTCACATGCGAATTTGTCGTAATGTTTGTGAAACTCACAAATTCCCTGTCTGAGCTCCGGTAAACCTTTGGGAGATAGTGAGGGAATGTTGATTATTGTTTCCAATGTAACTTTTTATTTGCTTTTATTAGATGAGCATCGATTCTCTATACCAGGGACTTTCAATCTTTTTAAATATTTTCTTTTTAACCAACGCTGATACAAGATCAAAATCAAGAATAATTCATACATTTATAATCAATGAAACTGTCTATTAAAAACATCTGAGACACACTTTTGTTTTCTTATCGAGATCAATATATTTCTTCATGCTTCATTTGAACAAGGGATAAAAAAAATCTTGATTTCATGTACGTACTTTTCTGACATAGTCTAATTACATTCATTCATTATGCTTAAGTAATTTTAAGACCTACTTTAAAAGCTGAACTGTAACTAAGTCGCAGAGTTTATATTCTATAAAAAGCAATTTTAGGATTTATTGTTCTATTTTAAAGTCAATTTAATGCCGTGTTTTTTTTTGGTGTGAATGTATTGCCAACATTTTTAATGAACTCAAATGACCTGACATTGAACAAATTCCCTAGAAACGTCAGAACTAGCTTCGATAGAAATTTAAACTAGCTTACCTAGAACTGCTAGATATTATACACATCTATAAATTAGCTGACCTTGAACTGCCAGGTATTCACCTACAGAGGCGTGTTTCCGGAGTGCAGTGACCGCGTTCTCAAACACTGGAAATGGAGACTGGCCAAACCCAAAATGGCAAATTTCTTGTCCCTGTCGGCATGTACAAAATGTTTTTTTTTTTAAAAGTGCAGCTAGCTGTCAGGTCTTACTTCAGGGCTTCAAATTTAGTTTCTAAATAGATATCGGCCATTGGGCATTCATTACATATTGCCCCTTTTATTGTCATTAACGTTAATTCTTTGTATTTCGTAGCGTTAGAATGGGGAAAAAAATTAAATTCAAGGATTCCAAACCCGAAATTGAGTCGAGGAGGGTTTCTGTGGGTTCGCTTCTCATAGAGTAAACCAAGTGAAATAGGATTTTTAAACAGCTTTCGTTTTAAATGGGTATATCTAAAACTTTGAATAATTTCACAATACACTCATGCAGAGCCTGTGCAATATAAGACCCCAAAAAATAATTCAAAACTAAAGCTTTTCACCCTGGGCCTGATTTTTCTACAGACTAATTAAGGCCTACAAAATTGAAAGGGTAATTTTTTCTATATTGTATATTGAGGGCGGCATTGGGAGCCAACTGTGTAGTTTTTTCGTAGGAGTATGCGGCAAAAATATTGACCCACTCCGGGCGCCACTAAGGCAACAAAAAAAAAAAGGAGTGGGGGTGGTCGTCTTCTAGATCAGCTTATATTGCATGGTGGATCCGCCCCAAGGTAAGACTATTAATCAAACCAGTCTGACAAACACGAACCTCTCTCAACAGAGATTTGATTTTCTCATTAAACATCAGGTTGGAAGCTGATCCGTACTGTTGATCTATCAGATCGGGTCTCACGATTGGTGTAGCCGGAGTGTCCATCTTGATGTGGTCAACTGACGGAGTAATCATGATACATTTACATCGTCCAAATAGTCCATGGAATTACATCAGTAACAATTTTCTTTATTATCTGAACGACATTTTAAAAAAAAAATAACATCTTCATTAAGGCTGAAATGTACAATATATATTTTTTCTCCTAAATAATCGAATGACCTACCTTAAACCAGAGTTGATAATGTTAAATTTTACAGTGACTTAAATCCAGCTTAGGCTTTAGGGTGAATGTCCAAGACAGCACGATGTCTTTTATCCAGTGATGGCAACGGATGTTTGGTTACACCACGCTGAGACTAACTAAACATTACTGACACACTGACACACTCTGAGTTCCTTTTCAGGGTCGGAGTTTTCACGGCGTCAGCTGTTTAACAAAATAGACGCGAGACATGTGTTGGTAAGAGGACCAAAATGAAATTTTTTCCTCCATAACGTTGACCGTAACATTGACCTACATTGGGTATCAGCTCTCTGCAGATTTCAAGGTCAGGCATGATCTAAAGTGACTGAAGCAGGTCTGCACAACGTTCGACCCGCCAGCACCCACTTTGCGGTCCACGAAGTCATGAAATATTCTTTATTATTATCATTTTATTAATAGCTTTTCTCCCTGTCCTATTATCCTTCGGCCCGCACAAGTTTTTCATAAAGTATTACGGCCCGGCTTACATCTGAGATGTGCAGACCTCAATCTAAAGTCAGGGTTTCCCAACCTGGGTAACAAGGAATGAGGAATGAAGATATAACAACATATTTAAATGTTTTTAGTTGATACATTTTTTCCCTCCATTATAACATTTTCTTTCATGAAATAAGTCTTGAATTTATTCTTTAAGTAGTTCAGTTTTTTTTGTAATGCAATTTAATAAATTAGAATTTCCTTATTTTTACATTTTAAATTGCGATGTTACTTTTGTAGGGGGTATGAGACTTAGAGCCATGCCATTTAATTTTTTAGTTATGATATAAATTTGTATTTTTACATGGTGATGACCAGAGGAAAGATTGGTAACCAAAGGCCTAGGCCTTCTATCCGTGTGGGTTTTCTTTTAAAGCGTATTTAAAAGTGCGTGTGAAGAAGAGATTATCCTGCGTGCAGTAGAATCAAAGATCCAAAAGACGTTTTACTGCTAATAGACAACGGGTATTTCCAATATCGAAGGGAAACAACTCTGATTTAATGACAGCTAATGTTTGCATGATTAAGTCAAGGTTTGTGTCTTTGACTTAAAGTTACATTCATAATAAATTAATTTGTAACAAACATTTGGCAAGTTATTGGCAAAATTAAATACAATTTTAGGTAACCTATGCTTATATTAATAATGCCCATTGGTTATCTCTTCACTTTATCTGATGTAAATCTTAACAACCCGAGACTAACTTATTTTATTTTTTACTTGACGTTATGATATGACGGTATTAATTTAAAAGTAAAAGTATTAATTAATAATTTAAAAACGACTATCATCGTTTAAAGGGTCCACCGTAGTCTTTCTTGTAGTAACAGTGCTCTTAGTGATCAGTTGTCATTGAGTGGTGCTGATAAGTGTTACTACTACTAACAGTGACAGTTGAGTTCGTAAAACAACATTTGGTAAAATCGGAGGACGGTACCCAAGATGGCCACCATCTTGGTTGACACACCCAGTTAATACTGTCACTAAACCTATCCCTAAATCGATCCCTATGCCTAACCTGAATCCTAAATTGATCCCTATGCCTAACCTGAACCCTAAATCGATCCCTCTACCTAACCTGAACCCTAATTCACTGCAACTATGGTGGCCATCTTGGGTACCGTCCTCCAATTTAGCCCAACATTCAAATCAATAGGCCCAGCTGAGACTGCTGGGCCTATGCCTGATTTGTGCCTTGTGCCTCTTCTATGCCTGCGCTTCTATCAAAAACTGACCTAATGTCCAAGTGCATCAAGCATGTCATTGTTTGTTGTGATTCATTATTGATTTTTTAATATATTATTGTTATAATTAAATTAATATATAATTCATCATAATATTTTATTTTGATTAGGGCCTATATAAGAAACTTTCACTTTCATTCATTGAATCAGTCAGGTGATTAAATGCCCTTTAATCAAATGTCATTGCACTTACACAGCCTACATCATTTTTTATTATTACCTTATTCATTCCATCACAATGGAAAAAAAATTGATATGTTATCCATTATGCAAATGAAAATAGGTATTAATCCCATTTACTATATTCCTTTTTTTCAGAATTATGGCAGGACTTAGTGTATTTAGATGCTTAAGATCTCACAAACATTTTACTCAAATCATAAATAATCCAGAAAGTACATGTCATGTTCATCATAAAATAAGTAAACTGCTTTTGACAAATTTGTACCACAAAAAAAACTTTCATACATCAAAAGACAAGCTCCTTCGTGCCTTGAGTCGACTAGAATCTCGTGGAGTTCTCAAGCTGTCAGGAAAAGATACAGCTGGCTATCTCCAAGGTTTGGTCACTAATGATGTGCAGCAGCTGGTTGAGAAATCTCCAGCTGTACAGTATACCATGATGCTCAATGTTCAGGTGGTTCACTGTTTGTGTTTGTCTTGCTGTCTATTACATAGCTTTAAATTTAATATTTAGAAATTGAAGACACATGCTGATGAGCATTGTTAAAGTGCTAGTTATAAGTGAAGTTTACATTTTAAAAGCTTTTTTATAAACAATTCAGAAGTAAAGTTTAAAATGTCTAAAAGCTTTTTTATAAAAAAGAAATGACCAATTTATTTAATTATAATATGATTTATTTTTAAAAACATATTTCACTTCTTCACTCCAGGGCCGCGTTTTATATGATTTGTTTCTGTATAACATCACTAATGAGGGAGGGTCAACAACACTACTAGTAGATGTGGACAAATCAGTGAAGGCTGAGCTGGTACAAGTTCTCAAACGATACAGACTGAGAAAGAAGGTCAAAATATAAAAAATTTAATTCTTAAACTATTAAATGTTTATTCTGATTTTGCTTACTGTTATGGAGCAATTTATTATGAATAAGTGATATAGCACATTTTTTATTGAGCACTTCATTATCATTAAGATAGTTAGCTATATCTTATAAAAAGATTTTTTTTAAATGAATTTGCTGAAATTCTCAGAGTTTTTAAATCACCTTAAAGTCTTGCCCCTTGTAAGGAAATAGAATTACATTGTATTGAGCTTTAATCAGTGTGTTAACTCATTCGTTCATCACCATGGCAATAAAGCCAATAAAGGGCTCTGACCTGCATCACAACATCCTTCTGCTCAGACCATTCTATGACCTTCCATTTCTATTAAGAGACTTTCAGGTGATGCACGTCCATCTTTCCAACATCAACCCAATTTGCTCTTAGTCTGCAAAGTTTTCTAGCCACTGTTAGAGCTTTTTTTAGTTGTTTAGGTGGGTTGAATGGAATATGTTAAAAACTTTTCACCCACCAAAACTTCAAAGTAGAATATAAAATTGTTTGTCATTAAATAAGTAAGGTATCTAATTTCAACTTTATATATCTCATTCAGTGGGCTAGTTAAATCATTACAAGTGGTAACTATTTATTTTATAAAAGTTTAATGTGTACTCAAATTTCTTTGATAATATCCATATGTTTGATTGTGTATTCTAGTCTAATAAAAGGGATGTTATCTACAGGTAGATATTTCTGATGTGAGTGACCAGTACAGAATATGGTCGCAATGGAGCGATGGTAGCTCTGAGCAAAGCAACATCCAGCAGCCTAACATATTTAGTTTCCATGATCCAAGAGTGCCAATGTTAGCTAGAAGGATAGTTGCAGAACAAGATAATTTAGGTGCATCTTATCTGATGATTATAACCTTTCTCAGTTTATCTCAATTACTTCAATTGGTTTAGCATTACATTTTTTTACAATTTTGCTTTTTCTCAATATATTTTTGTTCCTGTTATTGAATGTGTGTACAGATTGCTCTGTAAAAATGATAAAGATAACAATAACCTTCTGACATATCTAAAGACTGCTGGCAAATGATAAAAGAAAATATGGGCATTTAGCTAAAGAGTGTGTTCCAAACAAGATTGTAACACTAAAATTAAATGTTGCAGGTATTGAGGATAGAACTGAACAAGACTACAGGGTACAGAGATTCAAGCTAGGAATCCCAGAGGGAATCACAGACTTACCACCTGGTAATTGCCTCCCTTTAGAGAGTAACTTGGATTTGATGAACGGAGGTAATCACCCAATGAAAATATTTTCTTATCTTCTTTTTTTTTTTATACATGATGCTTGAAACTAGAAATCAAGCTATTTAGGCTTGTATTTTCATATCTTAAAGTTTATAACATAGGAAATGAGATATTTGCAAGCAGATAAGATACCAAAGGCTTTATAATATATATTTGACCTGACTTTTTAGCTGGAAATTATGCATTGAAAACAGGGTAGATAACTAATAACCAGGTTAGATGTATCTTTCTTAGGAATATTTTCCCACACAAAATAATTAAGTAACTTTTTCTGTATGCAAAGAATTCCATAATATGAATATATTAACGAGTCTTTCAAATTAGACTGCAAAATGAAGTTAAATTTGTTTTTTACTTAAGTTGGCAATAGTTTTTGCAACCCAACTCCTAGCTACGATCATCAGCCTTATGGGGGAAAAATCTTGTACGGTGCCTATTTTTAATTTTATCCTTGTACAGTTACTAGACTTCTCTAAGTTGAAAAATACATTTTAAATATCTGATGCTCTCCTCCCTGTCCAATTAAAGAAAACCTGATGTAATTTATAAATATTCATTCAGTCAATTTCCAGAAAGGTTGTTATATCGGACAAGAGCTAACAGCACGGACTTATCACACGGGAGTCACACGTAAACGTATCATGCCCATTGAATTAGACACGTAAGCTCTCGCTGCCTCGCTTTCATCAGACCTTAAAAGTGTCACTTTGTTTATTTAAAGATATTCAGCTTAATTATCCTTTTATTTTGTCTCATAATTTATTAAAAGCTGTTGATTTTTCATAATTCTTAATAGTACTTCCTAATAATTTAGGTTTTTCTTACACATTTATCTTCCTTATCAAGTTTGTTGTGCAAAATGTAATGTAGATTTGTCAAATGTAAAATTGTTACTGAATAGTAATGTCAGTGCTGAAAATGAAGTATGCTCTCTTTCTCTTTTTCAAGCCCAGCACCAATTTCTGTTAATGCCGTGATAAGCACAAAAGAAAAGGGAAAGAATGCTGGTAAGTTTCGCAGTGTTGAAGGACTCTACGGGCTTGGATTGCTGCGTCTTGAACATATCAAGGTTGATCTCACGGTGAAGTCAGCAGTCGGAGAAACTGTTTCTGTCAGACCACACATACCAGAGTGGTGGCCCAAGAGTATTTTTTCAGTGTAATCAGAACTAGACAAATAGTTAATATATTGACAGTGTGAACCAAACTTGACTAACACAAATGAATACAAATGTAAATTGACGGTTAAAGAACATTGACAATGTCAACTTACCTTGTGATAAAGTACGCCAATAACTGATATTATTAAGTTTTATAGACATGTTTTTTTATTTCATTTACTGATATATAGATTTCCATGTCTCAGGAATTATTCATGTACACAGATAAAAGGAAAGATCTCCTGAAATTGTGTCTTACGTTGGTTTATATTAGTTTCAAGTTGTTAAAAAGATATTTCTATGTGTATTTATTTTCCTGTTTTAAATTTTTTTTTTACATACGAAGGGACATCAATTGATTTATCTAAGGAGGAAGAATTACAAAAATGAAATAATTTCATGTATGCAACGTACAGGTGTAAGACAAATGTAGACTAAACACAATAAGAATTTTGGTCAAAGAGATGAGTGTTGTGAAATTGGGACATGCCAGACATGATATTATGCAATGGATAAGTTTTTTCCACTACTTCTGTAGGACAGACCAGTGCTTCCCAAACTGTGTTGCGTGACAGAGAAGTGTGTCCCTGCAGGGTGTAGGTGTACCCCTCGAAAGTAAGCCATAATGACATGTCTACGCCATCTTTAGTCATCAAGGGAGATTATCAGATATATGGATTGTGCAAACTTATTGTATATCCCCTCTTTTTCCTTTAAGATGGCTACCAGTTGCCAGTTTAGCCTTTGATGGCCAAATTCATTTAACTGTAAAGCCGACATGGTTGTGTGAATTTTGCAATTCAAGCATGACTTTGCCTTTTTGGAAATAGATTTTTCCCTTGTTTGGTTCCACATTATCTTAAATTTCATTTAGCATCAGTGTCCCTGGTTTCTCTTGTAATGCAATGCGGGATTATTTCAAAATGATATCTTAGCTGGCGAAAAGTCTGTTTTTAAATGTTATAAATGCAAAGATAAAGTTTCCAAACCTCGTTTATAGGTAAAAATTGTTTGAAATCGGCGATCACATTTCTGGTCGCGCTAACAACCCTTGTCCCAAGTGTTACGTTTGCGGAGATATATTTCCTACTCAGAGTATCGTACCTAACAAATGAAGCAATAATTTTGCTGTTTTACCCTGAATTCAAGAAAGTATTTATTAAAATTCCTTTGGCAGATAACACAATTAGAAGATGCATTCAAGACATGTCTGATCAAATAAAAAGTTCAAATGAATGAAATGTTTCATTACTATAATAATTTTTTGACATTACAGTTAGACAAATCCACAAATGTCAGTGCCTTAACGCAAATACTGGTTTGTAGACATGCTATTCACAGAAAAAGAGACATTTTTTTTTTAAATTTCGCAAATATTTTCTTATTAGAATTAATGAATAACAATTCTCACAATCTTCTAAATGAATTTTATTATCAAGCAAGTGATTAATCATTTTTTTAAAAAAAGGAAAGTCTTTCATGAGATATGTTTTGTCTCCGTACATTTTGCTTTAAACTAATATGTTTGCGTACATATGTCTTCAAATGGGTTGGTTTAATCCCTGGGTAAAGCAGTGAAACTGACTCACTGTCATGAAATTATGGATGTCTAAACAGCGTGTCACCAACATGAAAAGTTTGGAAAGCACTGGGATTGGCTATAGTTTTTATATGAAGACTCGTGAGTTGTACCAACTACATCACGTTATTTAATATAATATTTAAAGATTTGGTTTACCTTGATTGAGTTATTCATGTTCTTGTCTCTACAATGATCCTACTGTGTTGAGTTTATTGTGGACCTAGGGTAATGGTGTGGGGGAGAAAAAGGGGGGGGGGGAATGATTAAAATTGTTCTATTATCATATAAATTAAGATTTATTTGATTATTTCAACAGTTAAGTGTATCACAATTAGTACATAAATAAAAGCACAAATATTTACTCAGATGTTCAGAACAGTTTTATTGTCTCTCATTTTTAGGCATGCTTTTTCTTTAAATTTTTTAGAAGGTGCTCTCCTCGTAGCTTTATATCATGTTATACACTCAGGCAAGAGAGGACCATTGTATTCTTCCATGGAAGCGTAAAATAATGGATTGTGGAAACAAGTATCACATATTTTTATGTGTAAAAAAATATAGAAGATTTTGTGTCTGTCATTGGAATCCATGACGTGTAGAAGCTCATTGCATTGCATACTGTAATTCAGTAAAGGATAAATTACTTAAATGCATTTCCTCTCATTTTGTTTCTGTCTTTTTTACACTGAGCCCTAAGGCAAGTTTCCAAGATATATGTGTAATTAAAAACCAGTTTTTAAAAAGATTTCACGGTCTTGATCCATATGAAAGTGTGTGAGTTAAGATTGATTTTACAATGTGGGAATTGTTGTCGAGGCAAATCTATAAAAGATGGAAGAGAACGACTGATTGAGCACGCATAAGATCAGAAAACATTGCTAATCAAGATGTCTTTTCCCTTGTCCGTTAAATACACTTGGACCTTTGTACACTTTTAGGGCGTGGCCCTTACCAAGCACCGACTGGTATGCTGTGGGACTCTGGTTACAACGCGAAGGCGGATAGAAGAATATAAGCAGGTTTTTTGTGTGTGTTTTTTTTTAAAAGAGCACCAAGGGATGGCGCCACTTGAGGCGTTAGGCTTCCACGCAGCAGGAAGAATGACTGGCATTGTATTTTAAAGTAATAAATTACAGAATGGGCTCTATTCTCTTTGTTTTGATACGTAGCGCTATATGCTTATACAAATTTAATAAGTTTTAAGATTTGATGCGTTGGATGAACAATGCGTGGCAAAGGATGGAAAACTGATGTCCATGAAAAACAAGACTAAAGCTTCATTGATATTAACACTAAGCAATTTCATCATACTATTGAGTTGATATTAAAATACAGAATGAAATATACAAAAGTGAAAACTGTATTAAGTGACAGCATTGCAAGTGTAAAAGTATAGTATAATAGTATACTAGAAACGTAAAAATATAAATAACACAGATACGGTAAAAACCCAGTACGACTAGTAAGGCTCCTGTAAGACTCGTAAATATCTGCCGGTCACAGTCGACCGTCGTATTTATACTGAGGTAGTCAGAACAGAAGGTCTAGAAATTGACCCCCGTAGAGCCTTCTGGGAACGTTAACAAACTTTCCCAATCAAGAGTGGGGTGGGGAGGACTGGCACCACGTCGTCGTGTCATCAAGTTAATTGAAAAAGTCGGTAACAGAAATAAAGGGTGCATGCCACGGCTTGAACTAGATCAAGACGCAGGCTATAACTTATAACACCGCATGTAGGGTGAACACGTGGACATTATTCTAATGGTAATAAGGGGAAAGACTCCAGTCAGGTTAGCAAAATAAGAAATGGGTAAAACGCGAGCAAAAACCTGTCGTTGTTTTGTAGCGTTCCATTTTTTTTCAGGTTTGACCCACCTTTGTTTTACTGTTTTACTCATTTCCTTTGACCTTATTCTAACTCAGAAGTATCTCAGATAGTAAACTGTAGTCAACAGCACACAAAACTAGGAAGAATACTTTTAAATAAATTAATGACAGCAACATATAAAACAACACATAAGCTAAAGACGCCATCGGCATTCAATTTTGGTTGCAGTTCAGATTTTCATCTCTGATAGATTTGATGCGTTACTGACAGCGAATAGATTTCGGAGATGTGTTCAAAAAATGTGTGCTGCTCGATCAACTAATCAACTGACATTTGAAGAAGACAAAAATAGATAAAACACCAAAAACTGACCCTACATTTGGACACTGACAAATGTCAATGTGTGACGCAATGACGAACTGCATGAATTAATTTTATAATCAATAAGCCTGACGCGTACGGGAATAAATCATGATGTCCGAACATGGGAAGGGGGGTTCAGTCTTCCCAAGGTGGCATTTTTGATCTGCTTAGTATTTGTCGTGAAAGGGGGGGGGGCGTAAGAAGGGGTGGGGGGGGGGGGTGGGGTCTATTGGCTCCGGGCGGGACAGGGGGGGGGGGGGGGGGGCGCGGGGGGGGGGTGGGGGGGGGGGTGGGGTCTATTCGCTCCGGGCGGGACTTTTTTTTTCTCTCTGCAGATTTTTTTGTGAAAAGATGGGGTGGGAGGCGCGAAAAAACATTTGCCCATACCGGTTGGCCCTAACACTAATCTACGCCACTGTATAGGACGACATCTGGGCTCATTAAAAGATACTTACTTCTTTTAGTGTGTTTAGTGTGTGTGTGGGGGGGGAGTGGAGAGGATGTAGTGGGTCATTTGCGTTTTTAAAATATATGTGCGGGTATGTGTGGGTGCAAGCGTGTACTAAATGCATATTGATGAGGAATAAGGATGGGCTAAATTTCGAAACTGGGATAAAATTCCACTTAGACCAAGACATTCTGGTTCCACCAATTTCACTTCCTGACTGACTGCTTAAGATTTTTGTTTGTTTTGTTGTTGTTTTTTTTTTTTAAGCAAAGACTCTCAAAGTTTCAAATGACGCAACTCTTCAAAACAGTTCCACATGATGTGGTCACCCCCAAACCATAAAATTATTTTCTTTGCTAATTCACAAATATGTGCTTTCTGAAGGTCTAAGTAAGACCACCCCTGTGTAAGGGTCCTTCCCCCCACCCAACCCCCATGGGCCCATGGGGTCACGACCAACAGTTTGAGAGCCTCTGCATCACGGGAATACCAGCGGGAAAATCCGATTAAATATTAAAATTGTTTGTTGTTTCATAGCAATAGATGTGTTATATGTGTTATATAATAACAATAAGGTCAACCCGGCACAAACTTAAGACAAGTGTGTTCATTGGAACAGCAATTTAATACTCGACAATTGATTTAATCTGGCCTATCAGTGACTGACAGGCTCTTAAGTTACAGAGGGTCATAGGGCGCAGCCCTCAACGTCCATCAGTATCTCTTAATACAGTTACAACTGTGAAACTCTTTTCTTTCTTTTTTTTCTTTTTTAAAATATGTAAGCCAATATTAGCGCAGTGCTATTGTGCTGTCGGTGTGTTAGTGTAATGTGTGTCACAACTTGTTATCAATCCTCGTGACCATGGCACACAGTGACCGACTTAACACACCTGCGGCACATCAACACACTGCAACCATTGAGTGCATAATGTAGGACTAGAGTAGTTAGTGAAGCTGACACAAGTAATAAAGCCATGGTCATGTCATAACAAGGAGTTGCGTTGTTTAGTTCTGACAGGAAAATGGGACAATTTAAGTGATCTTTAAGAATTAGTAAGTACTTCTCGTTCATGAATAACACAGTTGTTAATTGTATGTCCATTTTGCACCTCTATGAATGGCTGTTAAATTATTTATAACTTGGTCCTATATAATATATAAGTGCTATGTACCGTCCTAGAGCAGTAATGGAAATTTCCAATAATATTAATTCACAAATCCGCTGTTCATCTTTCGTCAGTATTTCATTTAGTTTTTCAGAGTACATCAATTCATAAATATATTCAGTAGTTCTATAAGTAGGAAACTGGAATAGAGGAAGTTTGTTACTGTCATCAGTAATGGTAAGCGGGGTGGAAAGGATGGGGGGGGGGGTTCTTCCCCCCCCCCAGTCGATCACATGACACATTGGGTTATTCGGTTCATTCTGTTGGACAACAGGCCCCTCCCCTACCCCACCCGAGAAAAAGAAAAAGAAACTGTTGTCTGCTATAAGCAAGTGCGGGGCTAAAGTGCGGGGGCCCACACAATTATTTTAATTTTCTAATAAGTAGGAAACTGGAATAGAGGAAGTTTGGTACTGTCATCAGTAATGGTAAGCGGGGTGGAAAGGAGGGGGGGGGGGGTTCTTCCCCCCCCCCAGTCGATCACATGACACATTGGGTTATTCGGTTCATTCTGATGGACAACAGGCCCCTCCCCTACCCCACACGAGAAAAAGAAAAAGAAACTGTTGTCTGCTATAAGCAAGTGCGGGGCTAAAGTGCGGGGGCCCACACAATTATTTTAATTTTCTTCAGTTGTGAGACTTTGGACCTTGGTGTTTTCTAATTTTTTTAAGGTATTATTAAATTAATAAACTTCATGTGACATTGCTCTACTTCCTCACCCCCAAAGGTTTAAGTGCTATGAATGCGCGCATTTTCTCACTCTGCAACCAGTTTAATCAATTTCTGTTTTATCATTATTCCCCTCAAGTTGAAAGATTTCAAGTTATTATATATATATTTTTTTTAAATTTCAAGACGTCCTGATATTCACTGCCAAGTCGGTGCTGAATGCTTGTAAAGTTATGACCAGTTCTAACATTCAGCAGACCGTTACTTCCATCTAGCCGTATGACCAATTCTAACATTCAGCAGACCGTTACTTCCATCTAGCCTTGTGACCACTTTGAACAATCAGCAGACCGTTTTTCCTTATCGTATCATTTACGAAGAGGTGATTGCCTTGTAATTGTAACTCTCACGAGCCAATTCCCCTTATAATCCCATTCTGTTTGTATAGCACTACAATTATATAATAGTTCCTCCAGCCCCACTCTATAGGCTTACGGCAGATCAATTTTAGGTCATGGTAGGGTCTGCGGACCTATTTTTGTGCTTAATAATTCATTAGAGTTTTCATTAGAGCCTCTCTTTTTGCTATGAGGCGGTATTCGGGAAAATAGCCTCATCTATAATGTTTGCACAACAAAAATTTTCTTTACGAATCTATTTATCGATCACCAATTTACAATAGATTACATTAACCTGTCGGAAATTATAATTTAAAAAAAAATGAAATTGTTTTGTCCCTCTTCTTT